CTATATTTGCAACAAAAAGAATACAGATAGGCACAGATAAGGTGATACAGATACAGAGAAGGGAGAAATCCCAGCTATTCTTTTGCCTTTATTCAGCAAATTATGAAGTACAAAAAGATAAAAAGAAGAAACTACAGTCTATTTTTATTGGAGAAATGTTAGGAGAGCAGCCCAGGGCTCTATTTTTGACCTTGACCTGTTTTGTAATGTTATCAAAGACTTAGAGGTGTAGAAGGCTGTCTTATCAAATTTGTGGTTGACACAAATTTAAATCTGAAGGGCTTGATGGTATGACAGAGGTAAGAACCAAGACTGGGAACAGTCACATGACTTGGCATGCAGGGCAGAGACCAAGAAAAAGAAAGTTTACAGAAATGTCAAGACTTGAGTTTGAACTAAAAGAAATCAATTGCATAAGTTTGGACACCTGCAATAATTTGGACACTTCCTAGTGGTTCATGGGGAAAAAAAGGGCTGGGTCAATGTCAATCCCAACTTATCAGATAACAACACTGGCTAAAACCTGAATGTGGCTCTGATCTGTATTATCAGAGGTGTGGCTTCCAGGTCAGGAAGGGAATAGCCCCAAAGCAGTTGGAACAGGACAGTTGCTGACCAGGTAACTGTATTCTAGCTTAGTGTAATCTTCTAAAGGCATATTGAAAGAAAAAGTGTATCCAAATGGGACAACCAAGATGATGAAGGCCTATGAATGGCTGAGACATTCAGCTTGAAGGAGAAAAGCCCACTGAGAGACATTTTACCATCTTTACATTTGAGGATCTGACACCCAGAAGGGGAAGACTGATCCTTTTGCTGTTTTGTTAGCTTCACATGTCTGCCAACCTCCTGTCAAAGATGATGGCATCACAGGACAGATAGAGGCTGGGTTCTCAAGTCAATTCTTGGATGAGAGGTGCTCAGGAAGAGTCACCCAACCTGTGTCAGATTATGGCATGAGCATAAATCATTTTGTTAAGGTACTTAGACTGGAAGGTTTATTTATTGCTGCAGCTTAATTTAACCTACCTTAACTAATGCATCTCTTTTAGTCTCACTACATCAATACAATGGGGATAATAACACCTAATTCATGAGATTTAAATAAGATGATATCATAATAAGATGTTTGCCTCCTCCTCTCTGGCCATACCTTCCCTCTCTCTTCTCAACCTCCCCCCACCCTGCTGGTGACTTCATTTTGAAAGTTCTGCATGTTGAAGTGGTCCACAGCTCTAGCCTCACCTGTTCTCTCTTTCCTCAGGTGACCTCATCCAGGTCCATGTCTGCATGTTATCTATAGGCTGATGACTCTGATCAAAGTACTCTTTGGGCCATACTAAGCTTGAGACACCTGCTGGTTGCTCAAGAGGAGATGATGACTGTTCAGTTGAACATGAGTTTTGTGCTCATGACAAAGATATAGGACGAAGTTATTAGCCTATAGTTTTCTCGATTCTCCTCCACCAGATCTGATCCTTGCTGACCTCACTTTCTCAATCCTTCGGCAGGATTGAGACCACTATAAATGACACCACTATCTACCCAGTTGGTCAGGCTAAAAACCCAACAGTAATTTTTAAACTCACCAGGGCAGATGGACAATGCCTTTCCAGGGAAGGTGGTGGTGGTAATGGCCTGAGGGTAGTGTTAATGGCCAAAGAGACATATGTAGAAAAGTATGAGAGGCTAATCACATTAAGAAATAGCATCTAGGATAAAACAGGAGATTGAAAATATGCATTTGAGGAGTAAAAGAAATGATGTCAAATTTCCATGTTAAAAAAGAACTTGTTTCTGTATTTTTCTTATAGACAATGTTTGAGAGTCAAATCATTATGGTACTTAGATTCCATTATATACATTTTACAGTTTGTATACAGTTGTATCTAGGTTTTTCTCTATGTGTCTCTCTTTCAAAAGAGAATCACTGAATTGGAATGGTTCTGTCTGGCAAGTCTTCTGCTCTTGGTGGAGGTTGACAGGGACCTGAGATTTAATCCTCCACTTGGTGGCATGTGTGGTGGGACACCAGCAAACACAGTCACTCTAAACCTATTGCCTTCGCTCCTCTTCCTATAAATATGGAGTAGGAATACCAACTAAGTCTGTTTCATAACTTTTAAAATGTATACAATTCACATTTTCATCCCCCATTTTATCCCAGATGAAAATTGTTAATTAATGTTTAAAACGATTAACTTCTCATACTTTTCTGCAACAAAGGTTAAGTCTATGCATTTTAATAAATTTTAGTGACCTTAACCCTTTACGTTTTTGTTCCTGGATTGAGTAATTATTATAACTATTATTACTGTCCAATTACTTGTTTCCTTGGTACTGATGGAAAGATGAATTTAAATAAATGCCCTCTAGGTAGTATCTGCTGCCTCCCCTGCACATCTGCCCTTTAGTTTCCAGTAAAGTCCAGAGGATTTGCCAGGAGGGACTTCCAGGGAAGCGGTCTTCTGACAGGTTGGCGCATGTGCCACCTGAACAAAGTTTGAAAGACATGCTCCACCCTCACACGTATTAAAGTTGGCATTTAATTTTTAAAATTTGAATGCAAATAGTTGCTAAGGATAATTTCCAATGCATTGTTAATAGTATGAAAAAGAAAATTGTCCCCAAACTGTCTGTGGCAGAACTTTTTTGTATGAGGTAACTTACAACCCCTTCCACCATGAAGTAATTGTGATTCCTGATAAAATGCTTGGGTAATTTCTGGATACACTTTAATGGGATTAAGAACTGCTGAGACGTTAGGGTTCCTCACTCAGCTATGCTAAACCCCGTCACCTAGGTTCCAGCCATTCTTTTGTTGTGGTGCCATTTCTTCTTTCTGTATGTCTCTTTCACAAGAGAGCTTCTGAATTGGCTGGTTTGCTGGGAGCCTCTTCCCTTGAGGACAGTTCAAAATAGAATTTTGATACATGCTAATAACAAGTTTGTCTGGAAAGTTATTTTAACAACTGACATTTTAAAATAGATTTGTTACATCACTTTTTAATAATACACAGTGGAACCTAAATACCATAATGAAGTGATACTCAACATCCTCTACATGAAAAATACAGGAGTTATTTTTTCATACCTGGAAAATTGTGAAAACAACTTTCCTTTTGCTCCTTGTTCATAATTTTACCCCCCACTTTATCCTGATATGATATTTCTTACAACTGAAGTTTAAAACTGATGAACCTGTCATAGTTTTCTACAGCAAAAGTAAGTCTATGAAGTTTTGTGACCATAAGCCTTGACTATTTTGTTCCTGGGTTGGTTAATTATTACAACTATTTTTATTACTCAATTGATAAAAATGCACAAATATATTACAATATTGACAAATAATTATTAAATATAAAATTTAAATTTTATTGGAAATATACCTCTTAAGATAAATGGAGCTACTTTATTCCCCCTCCACAAGAAAGTCATGTATCCATAAATAGAAATTACTTTGACAATAAGTAATTTCTAAGAAAGAGCTAGGGTTCCTAGCAAGTCTATTCATGTTTTTCATTGTTATGGATAAAAGCTCTGACAAGTGTTGTTCATATGACAACTACATGGGAGGGGAAGGAGTTTTGTTATAGTGACGTTCCTCAACTCTTTGAATTTCTGAGTTATATTCCAAAAAAAATCTGTTGGCCGTCTTGACTAGGTACTCTTTCAATTTTGTTGAAAACAAAGCATTGGGAAAACAATTTACAAAAAGATTTTTTTCCCCAGTCATTAGAGACTAATATAGCCCCAGGATTTCAAATCATGCCTTCTGTTAACCTAAGGATTTTAACACCCCAAGGCCATCATCAGTGGCGTGCGGGTAACTTTTGCTCATTTCCATGGCGTAAATGCTTCTACCACAGCCAATTTCAAGCTACCAACCTGACTTCACTGACATGCACTTGGGAAGACAGGTGCACGGTTGTCTCTGCTGGCCAGTGTGAGGCAGTCCCAGCCACTACCACGGTGCCTCACAATAAGATTCAGAGAGGGGCAAGCGGTGTGCCTCTCTTTTAAGAAGTTTGACAGATGACCATGAAAGGGGAGGTGGGTGAGAACTGGTCTGATTTTCGAGGTGTTCTCAAGATCAGTTTATGACAAAGTACTCATGGGTGTTAAGAACCTTGGTTCTTTTAAGCATCCCTTGCCTGGGTACCTCTTGGAAAGGCTGTGTGTCCCCAGGGTTCCACATGCAGTAGTTTGGAGACCACCGATTGAAAGCATGGAGCAGGGCCCTGGCGTGAGACATGTCTCTATATAACTGATGATCAAATCCAGCCTCTATAACTTATTACATTTGAGAACTTGGGTATATTAACTTCTAAGTCTTAGTTTTCTCCTATAAAATAGGAGAAGCCAGTACCTACCTTCCAAGGTTTGAGAACAAATGGTAGTACACACATTTGTGTTGCACCTGGAAGATGTTCAACAGATAGATGTTACTATCAGAGTCCTTTTAATTAAGTCTAAGAGAAGAGATGTGGAGTATTGAGGAGTCTAAGAGAAGAGATGTGGAGTATTGAGGCTTAGGGTATCAAGGCACAAACTAAGTGGGAAACATTGGATCCCTTGTAATTTAGGATTTACTTGCTCCAAACCAAGTGGCTGCTTTGGTTATCTAAAAATGTTAACTTCAAAATAGAACTTTCAGGTTGTTTCACTCTGTTTCATACAAGCTTTCATCTTAGGGGATGCAGAGGATGAGATCTCCAGTCTATAAGGAAGAACATACCCATCAACAACTGTGGCTCTCTCAGGGAGTAGAACTCTAGATTGGTCCATCTTGCACATAACCAAGAGGGTTAATTACTAAGAAACAAAAAGGGTCTCCTTCTAAGGTGGTTTCACCTGTAAGGCAATCCCTTAGCCTGATCCCTGAGGGTTGGTGGTTTTACTGGCTTGTTAAGAAGGCTTTTCAAAGTCTTGTTTAATGATGATGAATGTCAGGGAAAAAAAATCATGTGAACACATTATAAACAATTCCAGGGCACAACCAATATCTCACACTGTACTTTATTTTTCTTCAAATATTAACTGGAAAGACAAGAAAAAATTTAATGGCAATGCGACTTTTTCCAACAACACAAACAAAGTGCCATTATACTTAATAGTGGCCAACTGGAGACTTATTTTGCGTTAACTATGTAAAGTATGCTTACCATATATTTTTGTGTGTCTATTGCATTGCAGGATTATCAGCCACCCCTAAAAAGTATCAACCTTAAAAACAGCCATGGAAGGTAAAAGTATGAGAATCTTGGTAACAAAAGCTTTCAATACAAAAACACTTATTGTACACTTATTTTATTTAAAACAAAAATAACCCCAGTAACTCAAAACAAAAACAAATCTTGGTTGAGAACTTAAGAAGATATCATAATAAACACAATCACTGAAAGAAAGTTTTCCCCAAAGAAATTTAATCTTCTATCACTCCTTCAAATGGTACCCTGGAGGGAAAAACTTAATGAAATGAGCTATCTGGAGGGTCCACTGCAGATTTCCCAAAAGGTTTAGGTGTATGGCATTACTGAGTATTACACTATAATCATATTTATTAACAGTTCCAGGATTTTTTGATTAAGCTAGCCTTCATTTTCCACGAGTATTTTTGTCTTCTATGCTGAGCCTGGTAGGAAGAACGACTTTGTTATTGATGGAATGTTGGCTTTGGGTAGTCATGATGAATTGGTGCAATACCATCTATATGCCATCTGGTTTTCTTTGTGCCCAGTGAGATGCATATTTCATGGTTGTTCAAAGACATGGAACAGAATGATTCATTGGGTAAGGCTAAGAGACTTGTATTATCACTTACCCAATTCAGTTTAACATTGTTCTATTTAATCACATTTTATTAATTTTTTTCCCCTGTATTGTGCATAATAAGCATTTGGAAACAGATGTCCCTGTCAACCAGAAGGTTGCCATTAAATATCCTATTGGTTAAAATTTCAAATTTATTGTTTAAATACCTATTAAACATATCCAGCTTGAAATGTACAACATTACACTGCCAAACTGCACTGCACTTGGGAATCTAAATGCTTTACCACAGAACTTCAAAATGTTTCTCATTTGTCACATTGACCCTACTGAAGGTACCTCATACCCTACAGCTCTGGCTATTCTGAAAACTTCCACTTGCTGATCCAAACTTGGGAATGTTTTACTTACTTAAAAATTCTTCCTCCCTCCCACCCCTGCAACAAATGTCCTTTGTGCCATAATAATTAAAAAAAAAATTCCCTGAAAGATCCAAATTGAATAACAATAAAGATCTGATTAGAACCTTCATAAGCCTGACAATGTAGAATTGTATTTTTTAAAAAGTGTGTAACCACATTTGTCTGGGCTGCAAAAGACAGCGCAGAATAAGATCAGAATAGAATTTCAACTGACTCCCTAATTTCCTTAGAAGGGCTTATATTTCAAGCCTTTCCTGTTTTTCTCTGATAGAGTAGGTGTACATTACTAACTATAAGTGATAAGAAAGTATAAAAACAACCACTGCCTTAAAAGTACAATTGGAATGAGTTTAAGTTCATATTTATAAATGATTTGTTTGAGGATAAGTTTCATCACAAATATAGACTATTTGCAATTCTGTTCATTCAATAGATTCTTGATGTGAAAGCTAGACATGTGTTGGGATTGCCCTAATTATGTACGTTTAATCTTGATTATTATAACTCCTCTTGATTTATAATCACTTCCTAATTTTTCCCACTGGGCCAGAGCTAGGTCTTTAGATGGTAAGCAATAAGCATTTACCAATGACATAAAAGTCACATGTAAATGAAAGGCCACATCTGAAAATCATAGATAAGTGAGCTGGGGCAGAGATGCTGGTTTTTTGTTTGAATTAAATTAAGGTGCTTCCTTAATTCCAAATATGAATTTTATCCAAATCTTAAGACTACAGGAATTGTCAGCCCCTGAAAAATCTTCTGGGATGAACTGTTTGCTGTAGAATCTGTCAGTTGCTGTTTTGGTCTCTTAGGGGACTTGTGCAATGAGGGCTTGGGAGGACCCAGAAGGTTCTTAGATGCTCTTCTCCTTGGGGCTCTTTTTAGAGACCCAACTCCAATTTGGAAAGTATGTGTGCTCTGTTTAACTCTGAGCCTACCCAATGCAAAGAGGAGTACTTACAGAGGATTCCCTTTCGTTTATAAAGAGGAATTAAGATGCAGGTGTGACCCCCTTCTCAACACGAAATTATGGATGGTTCTCTGTTGCCTGGTTGCAAAATAATCTGATTACATGAAAAAAAGGAGGAGAAAAAAATGACTAGTTGAGGCTTTTATATACATTCATTTCTTCTAATATGTTTTTAACAATAAGAAAAATGCAACATCAACTACTCTTAGAGCGAGTGCAGCCACAATACTGTACAGTTCTGGAGTTGGGTGGCTGGCACATTTATCATTAAAACCATATAACAAAATCCCACAGCTAAAGAAAACCAGCCAGAAGTTAGCTCCCCCTGTAACTTTTTTTTATATATACATTTTTCAAATACTCTATGTATCCATTTGAACAACAACAATAACAACAACAACAAAAGACAAATAGGCTTTATATTAAAAATGTCCATGTTCTTCATTGTTACTTCTAAAGCAGCTTGGAGGATCTTGCCACTTGGAGTGTACTGCAAACTGACTCCATTAATATGATCTTGGCAGGATAGCAGCACAGGATTTGATATTCCGTATTCATCACTTTGACAATGTAAACCTTTCATAAAATAATATTTTGCTTAAAAATTAGCATCATTCAAGGGTCTGATCATTCTGTTCCCTGAGGCCCGCCAGGGAGGTCTGGCTTCATACCACAGGTTTCCTGCTTTCTCAGTGGAGTGTAGCTGCCACTGTGGTTCAGGAAGGCCCAATAGGAGAGCCGTGGAGACCCCTGTGGAAGGAGGGCAGGAGGGCTCTAGATGGGTCTTGCTGATTTCCGGCCACGTAAAGCAACTCTCTAAAGGTCAAAACTATCATAGCCAGATTTTAATTCTCTGGCCATTTCCCATCTGGATTTTCAACTGAATGAACCTCATGGGTTTAACCAAACATGCATGTAATCCTAAGTAACATGAGTTAAACGCTGGATTGCCCAGGGAAAGTAAACCTTCAAGAAACAAGGTCAAAGGGACAACAGATATATCCATCACAATAAACAATTCTGTTGACATGGAAATGCACACAACGTGGTTTAAACAAAGCTCCTCAGTGGCCACTGAAATCCAGGGTCTCTCAGGTAGCTGAGACTCAGGGCTCATCTCACCTTATCAGAAATGTTTTTGAAGAATCAATAAACAAAAATCTCAAATGGAAAATGATCACTTTTGCTAAAGAATAGTGTAGAGGCCATAACTAAATACAATTTCTTTAAAAACGCTGAGATGCAGGTATCTTTTTTTCAAAAGCAGCTTTCGAAATATCAACCACAGCATTAAACAATGAACATAGTACATTCCAGAGTTAATACAGATAAATGGTATATAATGTGATAATGCCACAAAGTTAATGCACAAATGTCTCAAGGCTGACTCTAAACTTGAAAAAAATACTTTCTAGTTTATTAGCTGGAGATTTCTCTTCTTTCACTACTTCTCTATAGTTTTCCACCTTTTTTTTATTTTATTTTTTTTTTTTTAACGCCCCAGGATGTATAGCTAAGCCCCACATTCCACACCTGGAACTCTTTTTTTTTTTCTGTCAAGTTTTCAAATAAAACCAAACTACAATGACAAGATAATGTTTTACATGTAATTCCATAGCCATAGGTCAATTAATCCATGACACCTCATTTCAACGCTTCCTTTAGGATTTATGACCCTCCTCAAAATCATTTAAAGCCTTGCTTTAAGCCGCACGCACTGGCCGGCTGATGTCCGCACAGCCAGTGCGCATGTGCCGTGGCCAAAATGGCGGCCGCCATCTCCTCTTATCTTTCGTTTCCATGAGGCTTCCCCATGTCCCTCTGCGAGGAAAGGCACAGCGCCTCTGTTCCTTCCTTCCACAGTGATACATGTCTTAAGAAGAGCAGTGGCTTCCAGGTTCCACATCAAAACGGGCCTACCTGGGGGGCCCCCCCGGCGAGCAGGCCCAGGCCTGGCCCTCTATTGCTCTTTCTTGGCAGTGGAATTCTGAGCTCCGTCAGCTTCCAAACATTCAGAGACCACACTACTCTGTTTAATACCCCTGGAGGAGGCCCACGAGTGCCCAGGCCAATTTCCAGGACCAGGCCTCTGAGCTGGGACGCAGGGCAGGATCTGCAGACTTGGGTCTCTAAAAGCAGGCACTTGTGGCGGCCTGTTGCTCTGGGTAACTCTTAGCCTTTCTGAAGTTGAAGACGTCGCTGAAATGCTCAGTTCTTCAAGTTCCAGAGGATCATTTCCTACTCAGACAGAGCCAGTATTGGGAGGAAGGGGGGGGGAGGTGTTGCGTATCTAAAATATATGATTATACACAATCAGGGCTTAAGGTACTGGATGATATTGTATAAATTGCTAAAATGCTTCTCGGCACAATTGGTAGCTTAAAAAAATACTTTCCTATGGTTTAAGGGCATTTTTCCCATCACTGTCCTTTCATGGGGAAATCCCGGAGGGTACCATGTTCATCTGAAATTCCCAGCTTTTTTCCTCTAACCAGGTATGTACCACTTGAGTTATATGCACAAAGTCTGTTCTTCAGGCCAGGAAAGAATGGACTTCCTCCCAGCACCCTCCCTTTATTAATATCCTACCCCCCAGGGCAAAGAAATGCAAGTAAAAGGAACACCTTCTCCCCAGCCTTCACCGACAGTCAGGTCCTTGTCCATCTGTCTCCTCTTCAGATGGTGAGTCAGTCCAGCCAACAACATGGAAAACAAATCTGTGTTTATTGGCACCAGACACCCAGGTGGAGCCACATGAAGTGGTGCTTTGCAATTCGTGGTAGGGCTTCCAAAGACAGGAGTTTTGATGGGACTGTCTTAAATAAATAAATCTTTTTTCTTAATAATGTAAAAAATAAATGATATTTCCCTTTGGCAGTAAATAGCTGATTCGACATTTTGTCTGAAAGCTGTTTTGTGTGTGTGTTGTTTATTGATTTTTTGTTTTTGTTTTTTTGTTTTCGTTTTAGAGAGAGAGCACAGCTTCTTCGTTACAGGGTACATCACTGACAATGCATATTATTTCTACTGCTTTAGTGAACCTTTTGCATATTTGTTTGGTGCAGGTGTGTTGACTTCATTTGTGGCCCAGATAGGCACCCAGGGTGATGCAAGCTCCCACCAGGGCCAGGCTGAGCAGAGTCTTCAGAGACAGCCAGGAGAAATCAAACAGAGGCCGCATGTTGGGGCCATACAATTCCACGAAGGCGTCCTGCAGTGGGGGAAGAGGAAGGAAGAAAAAGAAAGAGTATTAGAGAGCACGCACAGAATGCCACCCCACCAAGAAAGAAGGATCCTGCCACAGCAACCTGGGCACCTTCACAAGGGCCAGAGGGAAAAAGAAAAACACTCTTTGGAGAGCATGACTCAGAAACTTTTTTCATTTTTTTCACATTTTTTCACTTTTTTCATTCATTCAAGAAATATTTATTGAGAACTTGTTCACTTGCTGGGCACCTTAGCGATACAGTGGTGCACAGAATAGACTAAAGGTTCCTACCTTTTATCTAGTGAAGCACTATAGACAGCAAACAAAATAAATACATCATATTAATAGTAAGTGCTAAGAAGAAAAATAAAACAGCAAAGGCAGTTAGGAAATACTGGAGGTTTTGCAATTTTAGCTAGCATGGCCATTCACAAAAACAATAAAACGCAGCAATGAAGGCGACTGTCACTCCTGTATCGACTGCTTGCTATATGCCAGGCACTGTACCGAATAGATGACATGCATTATTTTACTGAGTCTTCATACCAATTTTAGGAAGTCATTTTATTTGTTCCTGTTCTCAAGATGAAAAAAGACAGACTCACCAAGGTTAGGGGACTTGCCTAATAAATGGCACAACCAGCTTTGAAGCCAGATCCAAACCAGCCGCTTCACTCTGCTGATGCCCTGGCATGGCTAACGGCAGCTCTGTGAGAGCGGGTAGCCTGCCAGGGTGCTAGCGGGTGGGTAAGGAAGGGCCTGGGCCCTGAGGTTGAAAAGATGTTTCTCCCAGGGAAACGGAGCTGTCGGAGGGTTTCTCTTGGGGGTGGCTAGACTGGACGCCCACCACTCTGCATTTAACTCATTGTGAAATGCACAAAGCACACGCTCTGTGAGGTGTCCCTGGACACGCAGGTCCCTGAGGGTAGCCAAGGGCTTCTGCTTTCTGTTCCTATTGCTGCATCTGAAGTCGGGGGTGAAGTGTGTGGTAGCAAAGTTCACCCTCTGGACTGTCTTAGATTGAACAAATCATTGAGTGCTCATTTCCTAGATTTTGGAAAGTTACTGTTTCACATTTGGGCCCAATGAGTATTTGGACAACTCCCTGCATGAATATTTGAATGTATAAATCAGTAAATGGATTCTTTTTACTTGCTATGATTTATTCAGGTATGAAGAGGAAGACAAGGCATAGTTCCAGATTATTCCCAACAACCCTGAATCAAAACACATGATTTTACTATAGGAAACCGTAACAATACTATGACTCTGGGCACTGCTGTGAGGAGGAAACTCTTAACAATGTTCACAGTGATTTTTGTCTACCTGGGGCAAGTTCGGCAGTAGATGGACAAGGTAGCTGTGCATGGTCTTGGTACATTGTAGGTACTTAGTCAGTGTTCAATGATTGATTAAAGTTTTCTGAATTCAGTCATTGGTTTGAAGTCTGTCTTTGGCCTAAACACTTCACCCAGATGCTTATTAATCTGTTAGAAATTATTCTTGCCATACATAACAATCTCTTGGAATCCTGCAAACATCTTGAAGTGAGGGTTTAAGGCATTGTTAGGAGAACGTCCCACATTATTACATATAGATTTAGACAGTTACTTTTCATGTGTGCATAGTAGTCCATCATATATATGTCATACCTTATTTAGCCAATTCCTTAATTAGGCTGTTTAAAAATGTTGCTATTATAAAAAATATCGTGATATATCTTTGTATATAAATTTTTATCTACCAGTACTTGTTCAATTGTTTTTTTTGAAATAAACTCCTAGAAGTGAACTCAGTCATCAAAATTGCTTCTGGCAATGATGAAGGACCTGTGGGAGCCACCCTCACTCTCTCATGGGGTGCCCTGTGACCAATGGCACCTTTTGCAAAAGGCGGGCAAGCATTTAGGTCAGCAGTTCACACTGAGGGTGATGTACCTCCCATGGGACATTTGGCAACGTTTGGAAACATTTTGGTAGTCATGACTTGGGGTGAGGGCGGTACTGGTCACCAGTGGGTAGAGGCCAGGGATGCTGTTCAACAGCCCACAATTAACAGGGCAGCGCCCACCACAAAGAAGTATCCAGCCCCCAAATACCAATAGGGCCGATGCTGAGAAACCCTAGTTTAAAAGATACCCTGTGATCACAGACCACTGAAGAACAAATGATCCAGCTGGTGTGTCACGAGTGTTGGTCAGATCAGTATAGGTTGATTAGTTCGTCCAGACAAGTAATGGCACACCAACAAGTGGGCACTCTGTGTCTTCAGACGTACCAGACTGACTTTTACCAGGAGAGGGCGTAAGGGTTTTCTTCTTCTTCTTGAGTATCTATTGCTGAAAACTTTTTAATTTGATTCTTAGAAAATCGAGGCGATGGACATTAATGAGATATGTGTTTAGTGCTCTTGGCACAAACCTGAGGTACAATCATGACTGTTTGTGCAGAAACACATCTCGGGGACTTCTTTACAGGCAGGAGAAATTTCATCTCCTCCAAATACATGGCAGGATCCCATAGACACAGCTTCAAATGTCGAACAGCCCCCTTCCACGCTTCTCTCTCTGAGGGACAGGCAGGCCAAACCCCGCATCAACCCAGCCAAAGGACACCCCGAATTCTTCAGGGCCCTGGCACTGGGTTGTCTGCAATTTGGCTTGACATTGAGAGGGTCAATGGCTGGGCCCTGAATTCCTAGAGTCACCAACGGAGTTTTCTGGGGCAAAATCTGAAACAGACTAAGCCCCTGGCCCTTTCTGGACCGGGAGTATCCTAGGGACATGCAAGAATCAGGACAAACTCTGGCATTTTCTCCCAGTCTTCCTGGCACATGTACTAGGAGGCAGAAGAAAGGCCTCCCCAGATATCCCTACCCCTTTGGAGCTGGCAGAATTCCCTTTCACAGCCTACACCCCTCACACAAATAACAGCACTTCTAATGGACCACACAGGCTGTTTCTGACGTGCAGTATAAAGAAAAACGTCAGTTCTAGAGTGAGAGGAGCTAAACTAGCATCTCTTGATCCAAAGTGTGAGCACAGAAGTGCTATTGCAGTCCCCGGGGCTGGGAAGGGCACTGGGCTTGGAGAAGTCTAGGTGAAGCCCAGGCTGCGATGTTTTATTCATTTACGATCTTGAGCATAGTGCCCAGCCCTGAGCCTCATTTACTGCACCCCTCACCACAGAATTGGTTGTTGGGAAGATTAGGGTAGGTCACTCAAAGCCGTTTGTCAGTGCGGTATAGAATGGAAACTAGTGGAAGGACAGATGCCTTGCTCTCGAGTCTGTGGTCTTGCACACCTGCTGGGGACCTGCTCAGCCGGCACTGCCCCTCCAGGTTTGCAGAGCCTGCCACTTCACAGCAGCTCCACTAAGCTTTTGGTTCTGGAGATGGTCAGTGAGTTCTATAGAAATTATGAATGAAAATGTGCACGTTCATGTTCTGGTGCAAGATGGGAAGTGACAATACAATGCCCATCTATAGATCTTCATAAATTATTGGTCAGGTTGAAAGACTAGGGGGCGAATCATTTAGCCCTCTTGAGGTTGGATCTGGCTCCCCCACTTTGCCCTTCTGTGATTCCAAAGCGCAAAGGAGACCCTGTGGCTTCAGGACAGAACGTCCTAAAAGCAACTTTCGTAGACAGTCTTCTTGTTTTTTCAAACATCCTGATTAGGGTGATTTTCAAAGTCTGTTTGAACAGTCTGTCATTATTTGTTTAACTTTGAAAGCCGTTTTAAATAAACACATGCTCATTTTATGTATTAAAAGCAACCAAGAGGGACAAAGAAAGCCTGGGTCACCACCATGTGATTCAGACAAAATCCCAGGCTATATATTTAGGAGGCTCCACATCCCTTGCTCATGTCAGGACTGGCCAGGGCTCACACACGTCAGTGGTGCACTCAGGTCCCTTCAGGAGGGTTCCTCGTGCCCTTTGCGGGCCCCTCACATTGGGGAGGCGGTGGGCAGGGCCCCAGCTCTGGCTGCTTTTTCGACAATGGCTTCTTCACAAACGTTACATTCAGAGGCCACAGAGGCTCTAAGTTCCACCCAGGGCAGGATGGCCAAACTCACAGCCCAGCCTCTACTCTCTGCTGCAGGGTGGAAAGCAGCCAGGAAGGGGAGGACAGGAAAGACCCGAGTCAGGACTCCCTAACTCAGCAGAAGCGTCCTCATCCCTCCTGCACTGTGACTGTGACCCGGTCATGGGACCACTCTCCCCTCCTCTCTCCATCTCTTCCTCTCTTGCACCCCTGGAGGCAATGCACCCTCCAAAATTTTCCTTTTCCCCTTCAGAACCCTTCAAGGAGTTCCATTTGAACCTGATTCCAAATAAAACGAGATTAGAAAAACAAACCAGTTAGATTGGGAAAAGCAGAAGAGGGTATTGATACCAAGTGCTGAAAAGGATGAAGTTGGGAGGGGGTCTCCCAAACCTTTACACCTAGGCAGAGGGGAGTGGAGAGACCTTGAGAATTGGGTAATGCATATCCAAAGTCTTAAAAATATGATCCTTTGGTTGGTAATTTCACTCCTAGTTATTGATCTTGAAAAAATAATAAAATGTACAGGTTATTTATAATAGCATAAACCTAGAAACAACTGAAATATGATTGTTTAAGTGACTTACGGCACAGGAGTGGTGTTCACCCATTAAAAGTCATATCCTGTACTTATTTATTGGCAAGGAAAGGTGTTCCTAACATTATACTGATAAAGCAGGACAAAACAGTAAGCAAAACATAATTCCATTTTTGTAAAAATCGAACATGTGCTTTTGTGTGTGTGTGTGTGTGTGTGTGTGTGTGTGTATACACACAGGGGAAAAAAAGAATATAAGGAAAAATGCCAGGATGTTACCAGTGGTTATCTTTGAAGGCAAGGGTGGGTGTGAAGAGACGGTATTTATGAGGGTATTAGGAATTTTTTTCTTAGCTGTATTTTTTAATTTTTATACAAAATATGTATTGCTATTTATGAAGTATACTTTAGAATAT